CACAAGTTGTGACACAGCTGGGGCAGCCAAAATGAACAAGTTGCTGCTAGCAGGATTTCCTGCCTGACATGGCTAAGTGATTCCCCCCCCAATCTACAATTGTTATTTAAAAATGTGCTCTATGCCCTGCTTATTCCTGCTTTTTATCCATATTCTCATTTATCCTGGTCCCATAGTTCCCAGGCACAGTTAGGCTGGCTGTACAGAGAGGAGCATGCAATGTAGAGGAGTACACACTCATGACCCTGTTTCGGCCTGTCCTCACTGTGCATCATTCAGTCGGATCCTATTTGGCTGCAGCTGTGGTAATGCTGTGCTTGAGCCTGGTCTTTACCTGGATTAGGAGAAAGTGCTGTGCCTTACTTCCGCTGGTTTTGAGATGAGCACTGCCCAGCCACCTGAACCAGGCAACCTGGGACCCTGAGTTCAAACAGCGTCAAAATCCTCCCCTTCCTCCTCTGACTGTGGCGCAGACTGGTTGTCTGAGCAGCATTAACCTCTGATGTACGTATTTTAGTTTTAGAGTTTGGGCATTATTTTAGCCAAAATGTGTTGGTTCTAAGTGGGGCATTTTGGAACTTGCCATGCACAGTACTTATTCTCCCAATCCTATATTATACTGTGCAGTGTTGTAGCTGCCAAAACCACATGCTCATGTTGGCATGAAACAATTACCCTGGTTTATACAGAACAGGCTTGGCAATAGTCTATCATCTCAATGAACAGTCATAGTGCTGAAAGATTCAGAGTTGTCTTTTCCTCTCCAAGCAACAGATTAAATTTCTTTCAACTGGATTCATCGCTTTAAAAAATGACAGGCATAGAAAGCAAGTATGGAGAACAGGGTGTATACAAAGTACCTGTAAGGTCTGGAAGGAAGTGAGAATGAGATGTGGAGAAAAAGACTATTTAAGATACAAGCTAGTAATTTGGTTTCTAAACCCATGTGAAATTATAATGTTTACTGTTGCCAGTTGGTGAACACAGAGATGTGCGGTTTTTTACTTGCATGCAAAGCTATCGGTTGCGGGTGAAGTACTTGGACGAAAACATTCAATTGCTGGTGTGGGTATTCCACCAAAAATAAACCCAAATAAACACTGACATGTTATAAAAGCACTTTTTTCTGTGGAGACAAATATTCAGTTGCTGCTGCTATTCGTGAACTCTAGAACGGTTAAAGCCTCGTATTTAACTTGCCTGAAATATTAATACTTTCTTCTATAAAGTAACACAAACATCTCTGAAACTTAAGAACCAAGTGTTTATATATTTTTCATGAGAATGTACTATATGGTGTAAACTTACAGGGATATTGATCAATGATGACTATTGCTTGCCAAGGTCTTGTGAACCAAAAATGCTGCACAGACAAAAGCTGAAGGTGAAGGGTCAGAAATGTAAGTTTAAAAAAAAGTTGACTGAAAGTGGACTTAAATATTAGTCAAATAAAAACCGTTCTGCAAAGGTTAGTAAAGGATTATTTTTCCTCCTTTTTTTCCAGACAGCTTCACACAGAGATTTTTTAAACTGTACTCCATTATGAAAGTAACTGCTACTTTGTTATCAGAATGGTGATAGATTTTTATTCCAGAAGGCTAGATGCTATCACTACTTGCAGTTCTCCAAATTGTTTCCACTGTGAGCAAATTCAGTCTTGATGCAAGTCACATCTGCTTAAAAGTGAAGAACAGTTGCTTCTACTTTCCACCAGCATCAAATTTCACCTACAATCTCAAATTTTAAAAATCAACTTAAATCCCAGGATTTGGATAGTTTTGCATAAGTGACTTTAAATCTAGAAGTACTTAATAGGAAATACTGAAATAAAAGCATTGAGCTTTAGTGGTTTCTGGTGGAAATAGAGATATTTCCTTTCAGATATGAATGTATCATGGATGAAAAAAGAAGTCTATGTAAGTTTTTCCACATATAGAAAAAAATGTAGCGATCACACCTAAATGCAGTTTCTCAACCAGCTAGCAAGGATAGATAGTGAGTGTAAAGAAGAGTGGGGTGACAGGCTGCCTGCATGAATTGTGGACTTAGTTGTCCACGATGTATTAAGGAGTAATTGCATGTTTAGCGATGCAGCTGTGGCTGCACAGCACAGGGGCATCACACCACTGCTTCTGTCGCTTCCCAGTCCTTCAGAGCACGAGCTGTTTCAGCCGTTCCATCGCTCTGGCCGGCACTGATGGATTAACGGGAGGAAATGTTTATAGAAATGTTCAGGTTTCCTAAGTGAGTGGAATGAACCCCCCCCAGCAATGATCAGTGAGCTCATGTCATGGAGCAGTTTGAAGCAGCCTCACTTGCAAGAATGCGAAGGCATTTTTGAAAAGGAAACTTGACACGTGAACAATTCTAGGGAACAGCTAGAGGTGTTTTCAAATAAAAGGTGTGGCTTTTCTAGAGAGGCAGTGTGAACAGGGCTAGCTCTGAACAGAACTTTAAATCAGTAGTTCATACACTGTAAATGTAATCGGTTATGTTTGAGAGCACAGCATCCAGATAAATAGTGCCCTGAGAGAAAGTGCAACTATCGCATACTGTGCTCAGTAAATTAAACAATATTGCAGTGCAACCACAGCTACCATGATGGCATCCAGCTAAGGCATCTTAGATTTCTGTTCTGTAACTGAAATTTTAGTATAGCCACAGTTTAAGACAAAGGAAGGGTGATGAACGCAATAAATAGGCAAAAGAAAAGCTGGAAACTATCATAATTTCACAGGTGTAAAATTCTGTTTGCCGGGGCACTTAGCAACACCGCTTGAGATCTAAACATTCATCTCCGTTTAAAAAATGAAATAAAATAGATCACTCTATTGAAGCTTTCAGAAGACTGTGATGAAGAATGTAGGCTTCAGGCTAGCTATCAAGATTAAAGTAAAATTCACCTGAACAACACTGGAAATAGCAAAGGTGCTGGGGGAGAAAAAAGCCAGTTCAAAACACTGCCCTTTGAAAGCTATTGAAAAGGACCTAGTCCTTCATGTTTCACTAAAACACTTCACCCGTCAAAGCGAGGATTTAATTTACAGCAGTTGCAGCACCCTCCAGTTCTCAATCTCAAAGTCCCTTTGGAATGGGAAGAGAGCATTATCCTTATTTTCAAGATTAGGAAACTGGTTTATCAGTTTGCCCTTAGTGAGAGGCAGAGACTGAAAGAAAACTTGGCGAGAATGCAAGTACCTCAAGTGAGGGCAAACATTTGAAACAGTCTCAGAATGTGATCTTCTGTTGCGAGGGGCCAGTACTCAGAAAGGCCGGTTTCAAGTCACAGCTGAGTTTCAGATCAGTACATTCACAGGGTATTCACCCAAAGGTCTCTCACATCTCCCACAACAAAGAGGGTGGCGGGGAAGATGCCACTCGCAGAGCTGCCCTCCCTTCTGTAACCTGCCCAGTGTTCAAAGACTGAAAAAACTTCACTGGAGCCTTCATATTAAAATTATTTATTTAGTGATCTGTGCATGGGATGAAGCAGGGCCTCATACAGACCTTCAAAAAAAAAATCAAGTAAAAACATAAATACATATTTTATTACAAAAATGAGATTTACAAAATATACATACTGCACTTGTCTTACACGTTTGGTTTTTTTTTCTTCCATATGCACATTATAAAAGACAAAAAACCCAAGCCCTCCAAGTCTGAGATCAGATCTACTGAATGATTTGGCCAATTGGCCCATTCCTCATGCCCAGACCACTGGTATGCCCTCAGACAGCAGCAGTCTGCCCCCTCACCGTGATCAGGTTTTTTCTTTTTGAGTTTCATTCCAGACACTTTTTGCCCCAAAAAATGAAGAGCAGCTATAGGGTTGAGACTTGCTAAAAATCCAGAATTTCCTATTTTGTCCTTAGGCAAGAATACACACACACATATAAAAACAACCCTTCAGTGAATGTAAAGTAGTATGCAAAAAATAAAGTATAAACAAATCAACATAAAAATTTCAGAATAGAAAAATCTGTCACATTTTAAAAAGAAAACGATGCATATGATGATGAGTTTTTGAATGTCTTTCCTTCCAAGACGTGATCACTGGAAACTTAACCAGCTGCATTTTAGCTGAAATGAGAAGGCTTCTCACTTGTGGTAACTGCTTGCTTTTAAACCCCAACACCCTCCTGCACCACGAGTCACTGCCGTGCAACTGGGGAACCCGAGGAGCAGGCAAAGGGTCCATCCTGAGCCAAAAGGATTCCTCCTGTCCCCAGAAGCTGGCTGTGTATTGACTTTACCTGCAGCGAGCTCACTGCTAAGCAGGAGAGAAAGCACATTTACGGGAAGGAAATAAAAAAACTGTATCTTTACGTTAGATATTTTAATAGCTCTTGATTTGGCAGGTGCTCTTGGTTACGTTCTTCTTACCCTCTAAGTCTTGCATTTCCTTCAGCTTAAAAAAGCCACCCGTATCGAACGGTAGGAAAAGATCCTGCCTCCTCCTTTTTTCATAAAATGAATGTTTATTTCTGCGAGCTCCTCACATCCAAGGGTGAGCCTCAACGACTTCTTTTTGTTAGCTTGCCCATAAAAACCGATCCCATGCTTATGCCTTTCTACATAGAAAACACTTTTGTTTCCCCCTTTGTCTCCTAGAACAAAGGCAAGGGGGAAAAGCCTTCTGCTGAAAAGCAACAAGTCATTTCTTTTCAGGGTGTGGAACAGCAACCCCCTCCTTCCCCACAGCACCAAGGACAACAGACCGAGGGCCAAATTTTCACTTTAAAACAATTACAACGAGGATCACTGAGGTAAAAAGGAACTTGTGAGGTGACAGAAGAGAGGCATCTCACCAGCACGGGACGCGGGCTGTAGCTGGTTGTGCAGTACTCACGTGATTGCTCCAACGAGCTGGAAGGAGCAGGCAGTGGGTTCAGGCTTGGGAGTTACCCTGCCTGCGCTGCAGCTTGACCCCAGCAATTCAGAGAGGGGTTGGCTATTTCTCGGCAGGGGTATCTCAGCACATCTGGCTTCCCCTCCCTCTCGTCCAAAGCAAGGCAGGATGGTTTTAGTTGGGTTGGTTCATTCTCCTGCACAGGCGTAGCGGGAGAGAAAAGTAAGGAGACTTCTTTTGGGTGAAGGACTCTCCCATCCCACCAGTGGCCTCTTTCTGTGCTCTTCGACTTAGCTGGGCATAAGCATCACTGGACACAGTCTGTCTGATCCTTTAGAGAATGATTTTATTTTTCAAACCCTCTGGGAGGAAGAAAAAGTTTGGAAAAGCCTCCCTTCCTCACTCTTCAGGGAGCCATTGCTGTCCTCTACTGCCAAGTATCCCTCTCCTCTGCGTGCGTGCATGCGTGTGTGTGTGCCAGAGAGGAGAGAGGGGTCTCATACTGCCGTCTCGCCTTTGCTGCCGGTGCTGAGTCTGTGGTAGAACCGTCGCCAGGACTGAAGGGTTTTGCCAGACCAGATCCAGAAGCCAGTTGTGATCCCAACAATCATGGTCATGAGGTACTTGATCATAAAGACAGTGAAGTCTGGGCTCATAGGGGCAAAGTGGCTGGGACAGGGCACAGCATAGGTTTTGCAGGTCTGGAGGAGCCACGTCTTCTCCCAGGTGCCACGGAAGGCCTGCTCGTAGAAGTAACATGCCAGGACAATGGTGGCAGGCACCGTGTAGAGGACACTGAAGACACCAATGCGCACCATCAGCTTCTCCAGTTTCTCTGTCTTGGTGCCATCATGCTTCATGATGGTGCGGATGCGAAACAAAGACACGAAGCCAGCAAGCAAGAAGGAAGTGCCAATGAAGAGGTACACAAACAAGGGTGCTAGCACAAAGCCCCGGAGTGAGTCCACGCTGTAGATGCCTACATAACACACCCCACTGAGTACATCCCCATCCACCTGCCCCATGGCCAAGATGGTGATGGTTTTGACAGCGGGCACAGCCCAGGCAGCCAGATGGAAATACTGGGAGTTGGCCTCAATGGCCTCGTGGCCCCACTTCATGCCAGCAGCCAGGAACCAGGTGAGGGACAGGATGACCCACCAGATGGAGCTGGCCATGCCAAAGAAGTAGAGGATCATGAAGAGGATGGTGCAGCCTTCTTTCTTGGTGCCTTGGGCCACAGTGCGGTAACCGTCCTCGGAGAAGCGCTCCAGACCCCCGCTCCACCAACAAGAAGCCTGCCGCATAGGCCACTGCCACCATGAAGTAGCAGCCCGAGAGGAAGATGATGGGCCGCTCCGGATAGCTGAAACGCCGCATGTCCACCAGGTAGGTGAGCACTGTGAAGAGGGTGGAGGCGCAGCAGAGCACAGACCACACGCCCACCCACAGCCGGGCAAATCGCACCTCTGCCTCCTTGAAGTACATGAGCCCGTTGGGCCGGGCCGGCTCCCCGGGGGC